GCAGTATCTTTAGAATTTCTCGAGTATCGTGGCAATCCTATTAATACAAGACTGCGTAATAAATATTGAATTTCGATGTTCCTCTGTAATTTTGGATTACTGAAATTTTTGCCGAGAACCAATCAAATACGTTGTCACATAGAGCATATTGCAGTCAGTCACGCGGCCGGCCGACTTATAACCTTTTGCAATAGTTTTAAAATCTAGTTTGTAATCGGATATTTACATGGGACGTATTGCAGGTACATAGTCAATGTCATAATAACACTGTTGGTAGATAAACCAAATAACCAAAATATTTGACATAAGACGTATTGCCGGATCACCGTCGATATCGAATTGTTACCGTCGAGCTGATACAAATTTTATTGAACATTAATTTCTCGGGCGTAACAGATGCAAAATCGACGGTTGCTTCAAGCGTTGTTTCTAAGAGAACGGTTCATTCTGCACAAGTAGTGATAATAAACATTTTTGGTTAAAATTATTTCAGCTACATTTTTTATTTGAAATATTTTTTTCTACGGCGCGCAGATCTCCCGTTCTTCTTCTTCTTCTTCTTACTGTGCCTGTCCGTTCAGAAGGTTGGCGATCATTCTAGCTATGATGATTTTGTTGGTTGCTATACGAAATAGCTGTGTTGAGGTCTTTCTATACCATGCTCTCAGGTTAGCAAGCTGTAACGAGTCCGTTACTTAAACAATCGTTTACCTTTTTTTGCGACTGGAATCTTTTAATTTAATTCTAAATTAAATTCATATTTGAAATATTCTTAAACTAAATATTTAAATAACTCCCAGTAAATTTTATTCTCTAAGGTTGGCATTAAATCGCGCCACCTGGTGTAAGATTCTGAAAGTACATCCACTTGACGGCTGTAGAACCGTAACAGAATCACTTGTTGACTGGATTTGATCGAAGGAAGATCGTTTCGATCATAGTGGCGGCTGGGAGGTGCCATTTTTCATGAATTTAGTTTAAGTTTATTTTTTTTATAAAGAGCTGTTGATTTAGAAGTAACCATTTAAGTTATTTTGGGTGTTTTGTACGAGGATACTTTCAGTTGGATCACACCAGCCGGTAAGATTAAATTATAAATAAATTATAAGGAAAAACCCTTCATGTCATCCGCAATTGTTAGTGAAATTCAGATCTATTTTAATTCCTTCTTGATAGGTTTTTCATATATTTTATACATGTCATATTTTACCTTATTTCATTAAGGAAAATATTTTATACCTAAATATATTACAAGTACTATACTAAATTTATAATCAAGATGCACTAGAAATAAACAAACCAAGACACTTAAATGTTACGAGGAACACTCCCGAATCATGATTTACAATGTATAAACTTTGTAAAACATGATTTGAGAATTATACAATGTATATACATTGCAAATAGTTATTTCAGAGTGCTCCTTGTAACATTTAACGTGTCTTAGTTTGTTTATTTCTACTGCATCTTGATTGTGAATTGAGTATAGATTCTATATCTATCTCAAATTTTATTTCCTTTCAAGGATGAAAGCAAACAATTATTTATTTCAATTTTATACCATTTAGACCGGCTAATATTTCTTTTTGTTTTCCTATTCTATAATATATAAAGATTATGCTTTCCATTAAAACTATCTATTTAATATATCCATAAATTATAAAAAACATTGTCACACCATTCCGAAAAGTCACTATTTACCGAAAACCATTAAGGTTTTTACCTCAATCTAAGGTCACTTTTTGACATTTCTTGTATCGCCTTTCAAGGTTAAGAAACCTTGTGTTTTCCCCTACCTTTTTGTATGTACAAAGGACATGAAGTAACACAATTGTTCCTTTTTTTTAGCCTACTCCCAGAAATCCAGTTACAAGTCAGGGAAGAAACCTTTTAGTTTTTGGGTTATATTTACTAAGAAAAGGGGAAGAAATTTTAAGTTTATGGGCTTTTATTTGGGATTTAAGAAGATTTTTTTTTATACATGGAATCCAGGTTTGGTGTACCTTTACCCACCGGAGTCTAGTTCTTCACCGGATCATCTTCCAGGGCAACCTACGGAAACCGGCAGGAAGAACTTATTTTGATTTTTTTTTTGTCATTCAAGTATTTTATATAACTTTTGCTACTTCCTCTTTAAGGTTTTAACTTTTGGTTCACTTTTAATTTAACTATATATCTTTAATAATAAATACATTCAATTTTCTTAAAACAAAAATCATTATAACTTAATTTCAATTATTTATTGTCTACCAAGGGATGAGATCATAACTCTCCCTTGAATTTCTCTTTGTTAGGTTATCGTGTGCACACATATCCAGAGAGTTTTCACTTAAAAATCTAAACAATTATTAAACGAAAACTGAACTATTAGTGAGTAGTATTTTTATATTATTATTTATACATATTATTGAGTATAACTTTTGTTACAATTGGAAATTAAGAGGTATATCAGGGGTAAATTGTTTTATAATTATAGTCAGGGATTTTACTGTAAATATAGCTGTTACTGTACATAAGAGGTGGTGGGTAATAGATAAGCATTTAAGATAGTCTGTACATAAGTTTGGTACTTATTAAAGTTGTTGTTAAAAATTTAATATTTCAATTAGTACCTATTTTTCATATTTTAGCAATACAAGATATCTCGGAAGAAAACATTTAACTTCCTGGCGCCCAAGCATTCAGTAGAGCAACTTTTATCTTTCATCTGTTTATTTCTTGGTGGTTTTCTTATCATTAGTTCTTATATATTACGGTCTCTGTAGGGCATGCAAATTGGCCGAATCCTTCTTTGAGTGTCAAGTGGTCATTCTCCTGCATAGTCGCTAGCCAACACTTAATTTTGTTATATTTTAAAATTCATATTTACCCTTTATTTAATTCTTTTACATAATTTATTTCTATCTACTTAATCCCTTCCATTTTCTGTTATTCCACATATTAGTTCGTTGGTGTATCAAGGTACATTTTAGAGTTTATCCTTTTGCTACACTGTATAGAGTCATCCAGACTCCCTTATCACATTTTTGTTACATTACCGCCCAACGTGGGCATTTGTTATATTTGTCACAAAGCCAGGATATTCTTCTTCGTCCTGAGGCTCTTTTTCCTTTAATTTTACCCTGCAAAATGCATTGGAGTAGCTCGTATATGCCTCGATTTCTCATTATATGTCCCAGGTACTCCAGCTTACGGTTCTTCACGATGTTGATTAAATCTGCGGTTGTGTTCATCCTCCGCAGTACTTCCTCATTGATGACCTTGTCTGTCCATGGTATCTTCAGGACTCGTCTCTATAACCATAGCTCAAAAGCCTGAAGTTTTGATAGAGTTTCCGCCTTCAATTTCCACGTTTCTACTCCATACAAAAGCACTGAGTACACGTAACATTTAAGGAGCCTTATTTTTGTTTTCAGAACGAATTCATGGCTCTTGAACACAGAGCTCATACTCAAGAATGCATTTTTAGCCTTTCCGATTCGACATTTAATCTCTTGGGTATTGTCTTACGACTCTTTGATTATAGTTCTCAAGTAATTGTATTGTGAGTCACGTTTAATTCTCATTTGGTTCACATACAGATTTGCTCCAGTTATGTTTTCCTTGATGATAATCATTAGCTTGGTTTTGGTGGTGTTTATACCCAGTTCATATGTTCTACTTGTTTCCGTTATTCTGTTCATAAAGTTTTGCAGCCCTTCTATGGTATTGGACAACACTATTGTATCATCTGCATATCGCAGGTTATTGAGCTTGAATCTATTTATTGAGATGCCTTCATCAATATCTTAGGGCCTCTTCAAAAATGTGCTCCAAGTATCTCCCGTCCACACAATTTAAATTGGGGGAAGTCCAAACATAATATAGATATTATTATATGAAACTGAATTTTATGACGCACGCCCATGGCTTCACCCGATTTTATAACCTTCGTAAAAGTATTTCTCACATTGCTCAGTTGTTTTTTATTGTTTCTCTCAATCAAACTTTATCCCACGTATTTTCTTTTATTTTTTGAAATATGTTCGTTATTTTTACACCAGTGGTATTGTTTGCATAATACAGTACTCAAAATAAATAATAGAAAGGACCCTTATTTAGATCTTGATTCTTTTCGTCGAATGATTTTACACACTTGATTCAATTTTTGTATATACACTGCTGGACAAAATTAACCCACCACTAACATTTTTTAAGCCCTTTATATATTTTAAATATGATAAAACAATAATTAAATTAATTATGATCCAATTAGTTAATTAAAACAAAAAAAAAATATTTAACGAATTTTATTACGAATATGTGAATAAATTTGATTAACGACGCCAATTTAATAAGTCTTATGTTTTCTTATCTCAGAGTTCAAAAAATACCTTTATTTTTAATAGTGTTCAATAAGAAGAGGAGTAAAAGGAATAAATAAAAAAAAACTCAAATTTATCCAATACAATTAAAATATAATAGAACAAACTGTTTATACAACTAATGAAATCCCTTAGAAATAAATGTTCCCAAATCATATAACTTTCACATATAAAATTACAATAGGAAAATTAGTCCAATCTATTGTCTCGTCTCAATAATTGTTCTCTGCACTTTATGAAAATGATTCACTTTAATTGACTATCTATGAAAAACTCATTTCCTGATTTTGCTTATAAAAACAGTCCTGTCGATCAAAAAAACGTCCCGACTCACACGTTTCTATCTCCTTTTGGGATTGCCCCTATCTGCTTAACTACCAATCTCTCCAAGAATAATAATTTGTTGGTACTTACAAATTCTGCACCTTTTTCATCTGGAAAATCAGCTTTGAAAACTTACTGACACTACTATTTTCACAAAATATATACTAATATTTTAAAAATTTCGTCTGAAAACCCTTCCATGACACTAACGTGTTTTTCTTCCTTTCGAACCACAGCGATGCTCCATCCGTTAAACAACTCCTTATTGCTTCTTTGCAATCTTCAAAATTTCCGGTGTGTTGCAATTTATTTTTAATTATTCGAATGAAAGTCACTGGATGTTGTTTTCTTATGTCCCGCGAAATTTGATCTTAATGTCACTAGAGGTTTGTATAATAACTTCTCGATTTTTCCTAATAAAAGCTCTTTTTCTATTTCTTCTACTGTCTTTTGGATTTCTTTAATTTCCTTTTTGGTTTCGACCTTATCTTCTTGTAAAGCTCTCTCCAGTTTCCATTCCACCTTCTCTATTCCCTCTTGTATCTTTTTGCGTGTTTTCTCTTCCACAGTTTCTATTTGTTTATGTATTTCCTTCCTCTGACTCTCTAGTTTTATATCTGTTTCTTCCGCTATTCTATCGACTTCCTTTTGTATTTGTTGTAGATAACCTTTCATTTCGTATTCATATTTCTCTAATTTGTTTTCTATTTGACTTATCATTTTTTATTTTCCTCTGTTCTATTTTCTTCTTGTGTGCTTTCATCATTGTTCTATTTTCTTCTTGCTGCGTTTTCATCATCATCATTAATTTTTCTAACATTCTTGTTTCTTGTTTCTCCTCAACTACAGTATCATTTTGTTCATTATCAGACACATCTTCCAAAATTACTTCTTCTTTGTTATTCTCTTTCCTTTTCTGCATTTTACTTTGTTGTCTTGTGACCGGCAATTTTTTTAACAAATTTTACCAGTATCTACAAAAATTCTTTTATATAAAAAAAACCAAAGCAAACCTTTCATTTCGATCAAATATTTCCCAAATTTCATCAAATATACTAAATCCCTTCAAATAATATGTCCTTTAGAATGTTTGTAAATTCACAGGAACAATTTAAAATTTTAGAGAAAAAGAAGAATATCCAATCATATAACATATATGCTTCTATTCCTGTTCTATCTTACACTATTTACTAGGTATTTCTTCACAGCCCTCTACGTTGGGAGACAGTTAATATGATATTGTAATTTTGAAATATGATAACACAATAATTAAATTAATTATGATCCAATTAGCTAATTAAAACAAAAAATATATATTTAATGAATTTTATTACGAATATGTGAATAAATTTTATTAACGACGCCAATTTCATAATTCTTATGTTTTCTTATCTCAGGGTCTATTTGAGTTCAAAAAATACCTTTATCTTCAGTAGTTTTCAATAAGAAGAGGAGTAAAAGGAGTAAATAAAAAAACTCAAATTTATCCAATACAAATAAAATATAATAGTAAAAACTGTTTATACAAATAATGAAATCCCTTAGAAATAAATGTTCCCCAAATCATATAGCTTTCACATATAAAATTACAATAGGAAAATTAGTCCAATCTATTGTCTCGTCTCAATAAATTTTCTCTGCACTTTATGAAAATGATTCACTTTAATTGACTCTCTATCGAAAAACTCCTTCCGTTGAGTTTTATTTTGAAAGTATTTTGATATTCTTTTGTCTTTGTTGGACTTTTGAATCCTTCAACATTTCATTTTTTTTAATTTGGCTTTTTTTCCTTTTGCCACTGTTTCGATTTTCTGCCCTCAATTTTGCCCCCACAAGATAGTGATCTGAGACAGAGTTCGCCCCAATATACGTTCTGACATTAGTTATGTCTGTTGCCCATCTTTTGGGATCAGGATGTGGTCAATTTGATTGACTTCATTGGTTCCTGGTATTTTCCATGTTCCTTTATGGATATCTTTTCTCTGGAAGTTAGTGCTGACAACTACATAATTATTTGCTGTTGCAAATTGTGCAACCATAGTCCATTTTGACTGGTTTCATTATGCAAACTATGTTATCCAAATATGTTTACGAAAGTTTCTTCTTTCCCCAGCTTAGCATTAAAGTCGCCTAATGTTATAACAGCATCGTGTCTTTGGATTTTATCACATACTTCCTGAAGTTCTCCATAGAATCTTTCAACCTCGTCTTCATCAGCCTCTTCCGTCGGTGCATATACATTAACCATTGTCACGTTATGCAGTTTACTTTTGAGTCTTATGGTGCAAATTCTGTCTGATATTGGTGTAAATGCGATAATGGCTTTTCGCAGTCTTTTGGTTACTATAAACATTACTCCTCTTTCACCTTGTCTTGTTTTATTTCCAGAGTATTATAGTGAGAACTTATTTTTACTAATTTCTCCCTGGTTCTTGCATCCGATTTCCTGCAGTGCCAATATTTCGACCTCATATTTTTCAATCTCTTCTGCCATACTTATCATAGCTCCTACCTATAGAAGGGTGCGGACATTCCAGGTTCCAAATTTTAAATCCATACCCATGTAGTTCATTTGTTTCATTAGCCATTGTATTCGCAACAATCATAGACATAAATATGACTACCCAATCGCGAAGTGTAACATTATCGTGCCAAGTAAATCCAGCAGCTCAATACTTCACCACAGTTGTAAAAAAAAAGCGACATGGCAATCTACACCACGAACTGAACGCAAACCAACACATACCACAAATGTTTCCCTGTACATTTGCCAACTTATTGCTGAAAAAACATCGCGCGAGCAGAACCTGGCAAAGATCTGGAAACAACATAGATCTACATATATTCAATAGACTGCGTAGGCAACTTGGAGTAGCCATCAAAGCCGCAAACAACGAAACCTTCGAACATTACATTACAAACCTTACAGCAAATGACCAGACATTATGGAAGGCGACTAAGAAATTTAAGAAACCATATACAACTACCCCTCCCATCCGTAAACCAAATGGCGAATGTGCCTGTTCCAACAAAGAAAAAGCGGACATTTTTGATCATCATACAAATGTATTTTAAACAGAGCCAGCAAACCCTGATAAAGAAGTGAAAGAACTAAGTCAAGAAAGAAGTAAACGCAACTTACGAAAGGACCAAGGTTATGATTTAATCTCGGTACAAGTACTAAGACAACTTCCTCGTAAGACCATTACTTTGTATCAGTTATAACTAACCACATGCTAACTTATTATACTTTCGAAAAAAATGAAAATTTGCTGAAATCATTACGATCCTTATCAAAGTTTTTGCTTATCAAAAAAATCTTATCCTGAAAAACCAAATATCAGTTTGGTTTTTTAGGAAAATCACTCCACTACCCAACAAGTCCATCGAATGATAAATAAAATATCAAAAAACGCTCACAAGCGTTTGACAATGTCTGGCGCAGAGGTGAACAAAGTAAAAATAGCACTATTCAGTAACTATTTCCTTTTACTTAAATCCTACATATCAAGTAGATACTTTTCTGTAGAATTCCAAGACCAACAATCCAACCTCTGCCCTATGAACTCCGGAGTCCCGCAGGATAGTGTTTTAAGGCCGTAACAGACGATAGATACCTTGGCCTCCATCTTGACCAATGTCTCACTTGGAAGAAACATATCCAGACCAAAAGAAGACAGCTCGACTTAAAATTCCGGCAAATGTATTGGCTCATTGGAGGTAAATCAAAACTTAACATCCAAAACAAAATTCTTCTATACAAAGCCATACTCAAACCTATCTGGTTCCACAAATTTCACCTATATGGCTGTGCAAAACCAACGTCGCTGAATATCATCCAAAGATTCCAGTCTAAAGTGCTAAGATCGATAGTGGATGCACCATGGTACGTAAGTAATCAAACACTTCTGTACAACTTAAAGATTCCTTACATCAGAGAAGAAATCGATGGAGCAACAGAATCACAAAATGAACGTACCATTCACCATAAAAATGAGCTAGTAAGGGAACTATTCAACACTGGTCAGTTATAAGAAGACTAGATAGAACCTGGCCCCAAGACCTTCTTCAACACTAAACCAAAATATAATAAGATCAGACATCGGTGGATGTCTCTCCTTCACGCCAAAAACCTGTAACACATTTACTTAATACTCTGTAATGATGTAGATTGTAAATAAACATAATTATAAAAAAAATCTAATAAATATATTGCTTATAATTTTTTTACACGCATTTCTTTTCAATGTTTGTTCTTATACCTGAATTTATAGTAGCAAATAATTGTATAAAAATATAAAAAGTTTGTTAATATTATAATTTATTTTTATTTTATTTCCATTGCTATAATTATTTTTGTTCCATAAAGTAGTGCATAAATTTTGTCCACTAAAGAAAGGATAATTTTAAACATTAAAACGTACTTTACAGATGTCTATACAAACCGATTGTTCAAATAAACGAAAAATCTGGAGTCGATTATATTCCATTCGATAAGCCATATCTCTCAGCCGGCATATCTATAGGCAAGATACTTCGTCAGAAGTATCATAACAGCTGAATCTGAATCCCCTTTTCAAATTTTCCATTTAATTCTTGTAACCAGTGAGTGAAAAGAGAGTAAATCTTTTGCATTTAGTCCAAACGAGGGACCAGTGATTCATAGCAAGGACGATAAGTTAAAAGTGCTTGTGAAGAAGTAAAATTTCTCACGCTTTTTAACGACGTAACACAGGAGCAAGGGTCCTCCTGCACTTTAGTAACATTTCTTGAGAGGTGACTTTCAATTTTAGACTTTACATAATATATTTAGTAAAGCAGAGAGAGGCTAGGTGTACGACGCGGTGTTGCCGCTATTAAAAAATAATTTTAAGGACATTTTTACCTACGCCTATTATATTCAGTTTTGTCGCTGGTACTTTTAATTAATTTAGACAATATGATAAAAACAAAAAGATTTTCTATGTTTTTCTTTTGATTATTTTTATTGGTATTTGTGATACATAAAAAAAGATAGGTCAAAGCGAATCATTTTTAAAAATTGTTCGTGACCATATAAGCGTGGCCAAGATTCAAGATTTATTTTTTAACTAGGTTTACAAATTTTACATTGGTTTGTAGCAAGTCAATTATATGTATAGGTAAAAAAGATAATATAACATACACAAAATGCAATAGGAGATGAAAATACATTAAAGGTCGATTTATACATATCAGTACCGTGTTTGTTCCATGTTATGACGTTGCTCGGCAAAAAAAGCAATAATGTACTCTTATGAGTGTACATTGGCGTTTTCCGGACCAAGCCCGTCCGTGCCCGGCCTGAAATTCATTCCAAATGATATTTTTGTTTTCGGCACTGTCCATGCACGGAAATGGTATAGACCGCGCCGACTTGGATAAATAAAATTTTATTGTTTTGTGAACGCGAGTGCTGATAAACCGACAGGCAGGAGATGTTGTGCGGTTAGTATGCTATAGATTTTTATATTTATTAAAGAAAAAAAATAGTACTGCGACATTTTAAAATATTCGTGAAAGTTTATTCCGTTGCCTAATAATTTTCTGTACATTTTGAATTCTTCTTTGGTTTGTCTTTTTTTTACATAGGATGCACACTCCATCTTCATTGTTTCTGCCTTCTCTGTTCTGGTTCTTCCTTTTTATCAAGTAATAATGACAACACGGTGAGATCTTCTATCAAAGCAGCCATATTTTCA